AAAAACCGATTTTCGAATTCCATAATTTTCGCCAAAAAACCGGTTTTAAAAACCGGTTCTTGAAAACCGACAAACCCCAACGGCGGCTCATACGTCAAATGTAAAATGGTTTTGGCAGTTGATGCTCAATTACATTTAATAGGATATTTTAGATAAATATTATTTAATTGTAGTTAATAGTTTTGTTCGTAGTCTTATTTATACACAAAAACGTTTATTAAACGGACCGCAAGTGTTATCAGAAACTCAAAATATCAACTTTTTTAAAATGTTAATATAAAAATGCACTTTTTGGCGTTATAGCACTCTTTTTTTGCAAATCATATTTTTCTCAAACCCGGTGCTCTAAAAGAACCCATTTGTATTTATAAAACATTTTCTAGATCATAATATTACATCCAATCACAACTAATATATCAAGTCCTAAATATTCTCATTCAGTCGTAGCGGAAGGGCCACAGAGGTTTCGGGAAGTTCGTCTTTCCGGATGGAAAGTTTGACCACACATGATGTGACCTAAGATCCCTGGAGGGCAGTCCAAACTGCCTGGAATCTTGAACCATTGCGACGAGCACAGAGGGCATAGTTACACACATATAGACCACGCTACATCGCCAGTCAATTGTGTCTTCGCAACTGCGCCCCCAGATATGGACGTTCTTTTATAGCCTCTTGCAAATAGCGCATGAATATAACATATATAAGCATTTCTTATAACATAAATCAATAGAGCATAAATATTGACAGCAGCATCTGTAGCATCACAAACATTACAGGACAATATTCTAGGGTGGTCAGGGTTCTGTACCAACAACGCGGGTAATAACACAGTTCCACAAAAAAAAATTGTCTGTATTGGGTGTACGGCATACGTTTTTATCTTCCCGTAGGGTAAGTTATAGTAATCGCAAAAAATCGAAAAAGGAAAATTTTTGCATTTCTCGACGTTTTAAAGGTTTCTGAATAATTTGGCATACCTTAGAAAAAATGGATGTATGTGTGTGTGTGTGTTCGGATACAAATTTTCGTCGACGATTTCGAGAACACCGATCAACCGATTTAAATAATTTAAAAAACATTCGATTCGTACTGATAAGGACACGTGCTGATTAGTTTTTGGTGGAGGCAGGTCTAGCCCTGCCGAAGATACGGGGCAAAAAGTGCCTAAAACGGTAACACGGTTTTTAAGATAACGGAGCGTCCGAATTCAAAAATTCAAAAAACATTTTACTTGTATTGATACGATGAAAAATTGGTCAAATTTTCATAAAGGCAGGTCTAGGGGTTTCGGAGATCTAATAAAAAAAGTAAAACAAAAAGCCATGTGGCGGTCAAAAATGATCATTAGACATATGCACATCAAATTATCATATTTTATAGAGATTTTAACAAGAAGTATAAATTTTGTTTACATTCCTATGGGTTCCGTACCAATGTTTATCCGTTAGACGGCGACGCGGCGCTTACGCGCTTTGACATTTCGTCTCCATGCAGTTAAAGCAGTTCGATTGCTTTGAAAAAAAGTTCAGAATTTCCAAACTATGCCAAAATAAAGAAAACTTTTTTTGAAATAATTTTTTGTTTCTCAAAAATCTATTTTTGTCGAAGTAAAATTTTTTCAAAAATGTTAACCGCTATTAAAAAAATAATAATTTTTGGTACGGGAAGTTACAGCAATTTGCTTAAAGGCACGATGCCTTAATTGCTTTAAGACAGAATTCCACTTACAGCTAGTTCCATTTTAGATTTCAATGCTGGATACGAATATAAATTCAAAATTGGGGGTGAAATGGCAAAAAATTAAAAAAAACTAGAAAAGCTCTGATCTAGTAATTCTTCTGCATTATAATTAAATTCTGTTCTGGCCCTTTTTATCTTAAATTGCTATTAAGTATTCACTTAATCTTAATCTATTAGGTTTTTTGTAGATTATAGCAATAATTTTTAAACATATTTTCAATTGCAATTGCAAGTTTGTTCCCAGATTACCTAGAAGCAATAAAAAGTAAATATGATTGCTAATTATTGCTGAATTACACAAAAAAGTTAAATAGATTATTTAATTGTAACTCAAATCAAGTCATTTAAGATAAAAAGGGCCAGAAAACTATAAAAAATATGAGATTTAAATTATAATGGAAAAGAATGATATGATCATTTGATATGAGATTTTGTCGTTTTTTTTTAATTTTATTAGCTCAATCAGCAGCATGCCTAACGCAGACGCTAGCGATCCTCAGATCGATCCTTGGCAATGATATAGAATTTGAAATGTTTATTACAATGAAATAGAATTGAATTGTTGTTTTGATATTACATAGAAATGGAAGTGAGAAGTAGAATTAATAATAGTTCATTTGAAATTGTACAGATTTTGATATGCTGAGTTGAATTTTAATAAATTAGAAGTAAGGAAAAAAACAAGATTAGAATTGAAAAAAATCAGATTTAGAAGAAAATGAATAATGAAGATATTAATTGTAAACATTAAGAAGGAAAATTAAATTCAGTAGTATATATATTCTATTCTACTAAAAACGATGATTCAGCCAAAGCTTTTCATCCAAAGACAAGATTCCATCAACATTTTTTAAATATCAAAAATATAATAACAAAATTCCGCAAAAATAGCGAAATATTAATTAACCTCTCATATGATTATCGATTAAACCTTAACGAAATTTATGCCCAAACTGTTAAAATAAATAAATTAATAACTTATGTATGAATAACATAAAAAATGTTATACCGATAAATTATCCTATTATGTTGGAATTAAAATTTTTCAAGCACTATTATCGAATCGTAGAGGTAAAAAAAATACTATACAACCTATTCGGCCCACATTCGCAAAATAGTGTTATTTTTAACTAAAAATGTTTCGTTTCTATTTGATTTATAAAGATTTGAAAATGATACTAGAAAGATTAGGTTCATATTACCAGATTTTTTTGCTCATTCGTAAGTTACCGTTCTAAAGCCTAATATCATAGTGAAAAAAAAATTAACTCATGTGTGTAAAAAGAATATACTCGTGCCTAGATACGGCCCTTATAGACCAAATAAAATTAACTCAAGTAAAACCAGTATCATGCAGTTAACCTACATTAGGCAAAGTGGGGACCAGAATCTAGATGAGATTCCTTTTTACTAAAACAGTAATTTGCTGTTTTAGACCTAATCGTATATTTCACTAATATCATTCTATATAATGCGCAAAGGTATGGAGACAAATAAAACATGAATAATTAAAAACCTAATTACAAATATATTATTATATATATTCTTACAAAATCATTTATAAACCATCCCTATATATTTCGTGCTCTTCACTTTATAGTTATGTAACTATAATTTTCACTTTATTTCCCTATAATATCATAAGATAAATATCCTATTTTAAACATTAGAATGCCTCACTAATCAAATTCATTTAATTATGCAGTATGAAATAAGATACAAACCTATAATAATTAGCCAATATAATAAATTTCTTTAAAAAAAAATCTCAATTGTACGAAACTATTTCTAACTATGCCCTAACTGAATATTCACCCGTCTATCATAGTTACAATAGGAGTCCTCTGTAAAATATGATTTAACAAAGTTTTTAGGTTTCAGAGAGTCTATTTGCATACTTTGTGTGAATTTCAAAACTTTATATACCCATAAGGTTGGACGAGTAGACGGATAGATAAACAAATTAAGTACCGTTTAGACCCTTTGTAGAAAACCTTTCTAACATGTAACTTTTATGTAGATCATTCGCCAAATAAACTGGGTATAATTAGAAAATAAACTATTATATAAGTTGTTTTTTATACAATTTAGAATATTAAGTGTTTAATGAAAAGGAATAGTAGAAACTGATACCAAACATTCTACATAGTTTATATAAAAATATTGAATGTCTGTACAATTTTACACTTTCTCAGTGATAACTTTCTCAGTGATAGTGTAATTCCGTACAAATGCAACGGAAGTGCGTTACGGCAGATAAGATAAGATAAGAGTGGGGTGCCAATGACTCGTCATTCGCTCTCGATGTTATCATTTCTATACGGGTCGATTGTGATTAGTCGTCGCGTATGTGAATACAGATCTGTCGTTGCATCAACGTTGTATGCGCACCAATATCAACAAGAAAATCGGCATAAATATATAAACATTTTATAGTTACATCGTAGTATAAATCTTGATTTAATGAAAAGTTCCTGAATCAGAAGAATATTTTACCCTGTCTCTCCTAAATAATTATAATGAAAATAACAAAACAAATGCAGCATTTGCGCCGTGAATGGAACATAAGTTTATTGAAATAATTTCTATATTATTCGTAGTTTCTATAAATTTTTGATGTTATTGAAATGGAAAATATTTTTTAGGCAAAACAGATATTACAGTTGTTTAAAGAATGAGATTATATCGCCAGTGAAAAAGTAAAAAAAATACCATTTGTCAATGAAAGTATGTTAATTTTAATTACATGAAGTTTTTCAAACACAGTGTTACTAATAAATAATATACAAAATTGTTATATGATGTATTTATTTTTATTGAAATGCCATCTTGTACAGTAGCAAATAAGTTTTACTTAAATCGCGTGTGAACCTTACACGCAAGTGTTAGGTCGTGGTCAATAATTTGCAAAAAAATAAACAATTTCAAAATTTTAATTTTTCGGGGATATATAGTATTCTTACAACATTCTTTATATCCAAATCTTATTAAATTGTTTTTAAATTCTTTAAAGCTTTTTATAAAATTGTTTTCAGACTCCTATATAAGATCTCAACAGAACCCTACCATACTACTATAATTGGTTTCCTATTGGATTTCTATAAAGCTCATCGAATTCTGATAGAATTTTTATTGGATTCCTTTAATACTCTTTTCGAATTCTTTTTGCATAATTTTAAAAATTATGATATTAATGTATATAACTAAATTAAAATATGAAAATTATTTCTGACTTTGTTTGAAATTAATTAATTAATTACCTCATAAACAGCACCAAGGGGCATTACTAAACATGCAACCATAAGATCTGCCACCGCTAACGAGGCCACTAGATAATTTGCCACATTCTGCAGATTTCGTTCTAGAATAATAGCTGCTATAACAAACACATTTCCTGAAAAATATTAATAAAAAGATCATTAAACTTCAGAAATAAATAAATGGTTAAAAACTAATTATTAACTCTTACTTTCATGGGGCGGCCATTAATCACCTGAGGGGGGGAATTTGACAAAAAGTCTTGAAATCTTGGGGAAGGAGGGATATAGTAAGACGTGTATTTATTTTTTACCTGATTTTTAAAAAAAATCCAAACGTTTTAAAAAAAAAAGTTTCAAAAATTTTACAATTTTTTCTCGTAACAAAAAATACACGTGATGTTTGGTGGGATAGGGGGGATAATTTTAAATACCGCACGTATCACCAAGGCGGAGGGGGGTCCAAAAATATTCAATAAATCAATCACGTGATTAATGGATGCCTACTTTATAAGAAGAAGTATATACAATACAAAATGAAATTATTTTATAGGTAACTAAGGTATCTACCAACTAAGTTTTGATTTAGTAATTAATAAAATCTAATTAATTCGGTTTTTAAGATATATTTTAAGACCGTTTTACATATTGCTTCATACCTAGCGATTTGTTATATGCCATCAAGTGGCTTCATAATTTATGAACAGAAAGTTTAACTTCAGTTCGATCTCATCCGATCATTATTTTAAGCATGGATTAATGACAGCTTTGCTCATAAACTATAAGATCCTTCAATGAATTAATAGCTTGAATATTAAACTTATAAATAAACTTCCGTAAAGTAAATGAAAAATACATTTTGCTTTATTACATGTAACGAATTTAAATTTACGATAAAAACAGTTTATTTAAAATAAACATTTTAACATAAATTGCGACGCAACTCATAGGTCCTTTATCGAAAGGTAGCATTTCTCCCGTATCTAGTTCAAATTATTTCTAGAGAAATATTTTCTCGATATTTTCAACAATCGGAAAAATATGCCAAGAATTGTTCGACGTATCAAGTTATCGTTCCAAGTATCAAAAGTCGTTTCAAGTAAAACTTTAAAAGACTGAGCTAGAAATTTTTCTCATTGGGTTTGTTATACAAACATTAATACAAACTCGAAGTTTTGTTCTGGCAGTAATGTTTTTGAAGTTTCTCGATACAATTTTTCAAGGAATAGATCTTATTGAAATATTATATATGTTGCACATGTAACTATGACGGAGTAGCAATTCAGTTGAACATCTGTACTTTCTGAAAAGGATTCTGAGAATTATAAAATTCTTCAAAGTTCAAAAGTTGCTGTTTGAATACATGTAATAGCCCAACTTTGATGTACAGAATTTTCTTTCAAATTTGAAGCATCGAGTAACATATAAATGTATCTTTACCGTATGAAATGTTAGCGAATTTGCTAACTTTAGTACTTGTGAAATTATAATCCTTAAAGTCTGATGGGTTTGAAATACTTTATAGAGATTACAGAGATTACAAACATTAATCAATTTAGTATATTATTACTGATTCCAACATTTATTATCGCTATAAAAAAAGTTTAATTACTGGATTACAATATGAAATTAAACACAGTTAATTTTTGATAGGTTTTGAGCACTGTTGTTTAGTTTACGAGACCTTAATATACTTTTGGTATACGTTATTTTAGAAGATGTATTTGTTTGGATGTATTTTCCTTTTATTATATCGGTCATGAAAGCGGCAAACTTCATGCCATTGAGCTTTTACACCAAATTGTTGATACCCTGTAGAGCAGGTAGATAATTTGGATCAGACTTATTTTTCCTACTTCTAAAACTAAAGTAATAAATGATCAATAAATATATCTTTTTCAATCAGAATTTAGTGACGAATCATTAGTATAATAAGAACTTGCAACAAATAAATAAATTATACCAATAAACAAGTGTTTTATACAGTCCACAGCTACAAAGGTTTAATTATAACCTAACAACCTGAGTTAATTGAAGGAGAGACTGTGTACGAACATACGGTATTGTTAATTTTAGTTTAGATTCAACAGATATTTTTTATATAACCTCAATAAAATCTTGCATGTGGGTACGATAAAAAGGACCAACTGTGGTGGGGTTAAAACAGCAGTTTCCAACCTGTAGGGCGCGCTTCCTCAGGGGGGCGCCATACTAAGAAAGACGCCTACATCTATTGCCAGAATACCATTATCAAAAATAATCCAACATTTTTGGAACGATATTAAAAAATTATCAGAAAATAATTAGTATTTGTGCATATTTTTACCTAATTTTTTATTTTTTTTTATTTATTCATAAGCAAACCGTAATCAATAATAATAGATATTATTTCAGGCTCTTGTCAAGTAATATTGTCTATGAATAGTAGTCTGATAATACCATTTAAGTACTTATAAAATTAAACTGTTGAAAAAAATAGTTTTTATGCATATTTTTACCTAATATCACCTATTAATTTGTAGTCTGATAATACCAGTTAAGTATTTTTAAAATGAAACTGTTGATAAAATTAAGGGAAGGGGCGCAACTTTTTTTTCATTGGAGCAGAGTGACGCGGTGCAAAAAAGGTTAGAAACCACTGGGTTAAATAGGAAATGACATATAGTAAATTTATAAGTAAATGGAGTTAATAAAGAAAGCAATATTAAAAGGGATAAATTAAAATAATAGTTATTCAAACTCTGCTGTTAAATGTTTCTGACAAAATACCAGATCAATGTTAAATATGGTGCAATCTTTGTAAAAATGTGTCCATAAAACTTTTATTTCGCATTGGTTGAATAATTTCGCTATTAGTCCATTAAATTTCTTTAAATTAAAAAATTATACATTGTATCTGTTTGCCCCCTGGCTGTCCCATTTTACCTAGTTTATGGAGTAAAAGGAACAGATGACAAATTTAGAGAAAGTTAGAGAAAAAAAAACGTATTGGTATATTTAGGAATTAAATAGAAATTTTACTGAGCATAGTTTAATAGTTGCTTGTTTGATACGTGTCGTGGTTTATTTCGATTAGTCAGTCAGTGTAATTACTGAAAATCAAATTGGACCCATAGGCCCTGTTCTACCATAAATACTAGAGTTCACTAGATAAATCTAACGTATCAATGTTTGTTATATCCTAGAATTAACTATTTCATTTGTGTATGTAATATGTAATACATTTATATTTACTACTATTTTATTCTGGCCATAAAAATGTGGTCGACAAGATGAAGTAGCGATATTTGTACAATAACAGGGTGCCCATTCATCAATGAAATATTCCTCGATAAACCCGGCTGTTCATATAGGCTATATGAGCATTAAAAGCTACTTCGGCCAATATAACTGATATTTTCTGTAAACGATTTAACTTTTGTCTATAGAATGGGAAATAAATGTTGTGATAAATTATGTTCTAAAAATGATATTAACAAAACTTTATAACAAGTTAATCTAATTATTAGATGTAACATTTTGCTTTCGGCAATTAGGGAAAACTTTCCCTGGCAGGAATGACTCGCCATGTTCCGCAAAGTTGTAATGTTTTTATGTAAAGGTTTTGTGGTTGTTATTTCTAAAAATAATAAATATATAAATATATTAAAGCAATGGATGTTCATTAAAATACTGGTATATGAATAGTAGGAGCATGCTTTTATGAGCTTTTAATTGCTTTCAACAATATTTTGAGAAAGAAATCAGATATTAGAAGACAATTACTCTGACAAAACCTTTACTGACAAAGCTTGTAGATTGTTAATTAGTGTTGCTTATTTATTAGTTCAAATTATACAATTTAAAAATTGATGTTTATTAATAAATAAATATAAATTGAGAATAAATCAACGTATTCAGCTATATAGATCGAAGTAATGGAGGTTGGTAGATTGAAATCGACTTCAACTGTTACCCGTAGTTTCGACTATTTGAAACCGAAAGAACTAAAAACTTTATAGATCCTAAACTAAAATAAAACATGTAAAGATATAAAGTAGGAAAAATAAAATGTCGAAGCACCTACTGAAATAAAAAACGAGCAATCGTATTTTAGATATACGTACAGGTTTATAAACCTGTATACTAGATAATCCATAAAATAGTTCAAAACTACCAACGATTTTCTAACAGAAATTATATCAACAGGTGCAATCAAACAATATTTCTCAAAAATAATTAAAAAATAACATTTAAAACCTTCTCATTAAAGTCGAAGAGATAAGTGAAACGACGTTACTTGAATATTTCAATTTAGTTAATTTAATATTGGTTGTTTGATTAATAGTAAGTAGAGTTCTAGACCAAAGAACTAAATTTTGCAGTAATACGTTATAAGGTAATTAATTAAACAAAGCATTAATTAAACGCAGTGGTGTTGTGCTAATATTTTTTTTGCCGGAACGCTAAAATTTAAAATCCGGTTCATAAACCGGTTCAAAAAATTTGATATATTTCGATAAGAACTCACAAATCTAATATATTGACTTTTTATATAATTAACTCTATTGTACACAGCTAGTCTATACATTAAATTGTACAAGTATGAGGGAATCATTGAGTACATAATTTATATTCTTCAATGACATTAATCATATTTATTCTGGTATTATTTGTATTCATTAATACCTACAGGTATTTATTATGATATAAAAGTACTCAAGATTTATTACAATACTTTATAAGACTTAACCTAATAATATGATAGATAACCTATTACCTATCATACTATATTATATTATTGTATATCATCGATAAATATCTATTATCTATCATACCGTGAGATACCTATACCGTCATTATCTTATTATATACCTACAGACCTTTTACTTCTTATAAATACTACTGTCTAATTTATATATTCACCTATATTATATAGGTTTACCTTACGCTCTATGTATTATCTCTACCTACCTATTGTCTATACCTATCATACTATATTATATTATTGTATATCATCGATAAATATCTATTATCTATCATACCGTGAGATACCTATACCGTCATTATCTTATTATATACCTACAGACCTTTTACTTCTTACAATACTACTGTCTAATTTATATATTCACCTATATTATATAGGTTTACCTTACGC